TGACGATGGGTCGCCCAATTCAGCCGAATCATCGGTGGAAGACGATCTACCAGATTGTGCAGCAGTGTCAAATTACACAGATGCTCCTCTAACTCACAGGCCTTCACTGTTGCTACCATGTTGCGAACGGCCAGCGCGAAATCAACGAGCGTACCTAGGCGTTCTGCTTTGGGAGCGGGAAGAGTGTTTATCTTCTGCAGCAGCGAATGTACGATGATTTCCGGACGCCCAAACAGCATTCGCAACGTCGAAATAACTTGATCCAGGTTGGCTGGGTGCAACAGCTGGCATTTGACCGCTTCCAATGCTTTCCCACGTAGACACTTCTGTAGACGAGCCATATTCTCCTCCGCCGAAAATCCGCAAAGGTTCGTTGTGTTCTCGTAGGTTGCGAAAAACAAGGGCCATTCATCCGGTTCCCCGCTGAAGATTGGTAGTTCCTTAGAGACTGCGTGACGTTCGGCGATTTGGCTTTTATTGAGCAACGCCGTCCCCCCCGTGGCAGAAGGATAGTCGTGTAAGTCGTACGGATAGTACTCTTGAGCGGCAGGACGCGGAAGACCAGCATATGGGGCAAATGCCGAAGCATTCGGGCGCTGAGTATGATTCGCTTGAGAGAACGTCGGAATATGCTGATGTTGATCGGTCCGGAGAGAAGCAAACGTCGAAGCGATAGGACGGTGAATAGGTGGAGGTGGATTGAACGCTGGTATGTTCGAATGATGATCGATACGAGGAGGGTCACGAGCAGAGAAATCGGGACGATGGTTGATTTCAGAAGGAATATCAACTGGAACGTATAACTGTTGCTGTTCCCGATGTGGAGCGAAAGTTGGTCCGTCGTGATCTTGGCGGACTGGGGGTGGTGCAAAGGGAGGCATATATCTACGGTGACTATTCACAGGCGAAGAATGAAAGACAGGATGGTTTCTTGTGTTGTTTGGTTCGAAAGCGTTCCCTTCTGGACTACTTTGTCGTGCAGGAATGGCATTTCCCGTCGACTCGAGCAGAAGCTGAAACCTACGCAACATAAACTTGCGTTCGATGGCTTGCTCTTCCTCTAGAAGTTGGATCCGGAGTTCGGCAGGCAGTTTGTTCACAAAATCTGGATCGACAGCAACTTGTCTGGGAACTACTGGCACATCAGGATTCACATTAGGTGTTCGAGGAGTACGCAGACGTGGGGTTGGCGGTGGCGGATTTGGCGATCGTGGTGTTCGTGGACGTGGGGTAGGTGGCTGCGGATTTGGCAACGGACTACGTGGGGGTACGATTGGCGTTCGCGGAGTTTTCGGTCGTGGTGTAGGAACCGGTGGGATTGGTGTTTGCGGTGTGGGCAGACGTGGAACTGGTAGTGGAATTGGTGACTGCGGGTGTGGTAATGGCTCACCTGTAGGAGTTCTTGGATGTGGCGATTGTGGAGCAGGAACTCTGGCAACGATGCACTCCTGGCAGCTCCAATTGTGGTTGGCCACATCTTCGTTTACTCCGGCGCAGTCAAAGTGAAACCAACGCTCACAGTCATCGCAGCTGACCATGTCGTTGCTATCTGGCAGACGGCAGAGCGGGCAGGATTGCTGCAAGCTGTCATCCGGAACTGGATCCCGAGTTCGGTCCCTTCGTGGCATCTCCGATTGTTCCGGAAAACGAGAATTTTAAAACTGTTGCGTACGCAACGAAAGAAAACACTTCCGGAAATTTAACTCGTTTATTGGGCAACCGAGCGGAAACCGAACGGTTAAAATTCTCCTAGAGATAATATCAACACGGTTAGTTTTTATCTTCACACAATAGAATAGAGGTTAACTTACGTTTCTGCGTTTCTTAGGGTCGTCACCCGGATCTGCCTACAGAGATGGGCTCGAATGACCACGTTATTAAACCTACATGTAAATGTTTGTGTCAAATAGTATCGTGAATCCAAATTTACATGTTTTTTACCGTATTCTTCTCGTTAAACGTAAACTTCTATGTAGTGTGGTGCTGTACAATGATTTGTAAGTGGACCTAGATGTGTTTATATTCAACGTTCAATGTTTAGCCAACAAATTCACAGTATAATTTTAAATTCCTCACCTTATAGTGTAATGATGATTTTAAATACAAATTCAAAACTAATTTAAAGTAGGTTTAATTGCAATTCAAATTTATGCACCAAAGTTGAATTTTAGGAGTGATTTGCACTTCCTTTTCTCACGGCCGAATTGACAGCTCCGTATACCATTATGCCGCTGTCAGCTTCAATGCGGCGCCGCTGCATCCATGAGATAGATTAGTAGGTGTGGCGTCGCACGAGGGGCGCACGCAACAGGCCCTTTTCTCGCCAACCGAGGGTCACCTACGCAAACCAACAACATCATCGGGAAGGAGAAAGCTTCCCCTTACCGGTGATGTTGTTGGTTTGCGTTGGCAACATATGGGTGGCGAGGAAAGGGCATAAGAAGGTTTGTTTACAAAAAGCTTGTATGAAAAACATGTTGTTCTTGACTTATGGATTTTTTCCGAGCTTCAGAAGACTTCTTCAATACTCTTGGGAAGTCCTCTGAACTTATCATAGTTCTCCAAGCTCAAAAAAGTTCCTAGAACTTCCGAGAAGTCGATTGAACTACAGGTAGTCCTACGAAATTCATGGGAGCTCTCCAAACTTCAGGGAATTTCTAAGAGATTAAGGAAAGACCCACAAACTTTTGGAAAGTCTTATGCACTTCAGGGAAGCTCTTCTAAATTTAGGGTCCTCATATATTCAGTTAAGTTCTTCAAACTTCAGGGAAGTCCTCAAATCTTCGAGAAAGTTCTTCGAACTTGAAGGAAGTCTTACGAACTTCTGAGAATTTTTACGAACTTCGTGGTACTTCTACGATATTTAAGAAATTCCTATGAATTTCAAAAAAACTCCGAACTTCAGGGAAATCCTAAGATCTTAAAAAAAAAGTCCTTCGAACTTCGGGGTAGTCCCATGAAATTCGGGCAATACAAACTTAAATGAACCCTTCAGGAAAGACCTTAACGCTTTAGGAAAATTCTACGAACTTTAGGGAGTTTATATGAACTTCAGCAGTCAGTCTTTTTAATAATAAGAGTTATTAAACTAGCGTTGCTTATGAAATCTTTTAATCATATGATTTTGAAATCTTGTTGTAATCAAAATTCCACTAAATAAGATCTTTAATCGTTGACAATTTGCGGAAAATTTAAAAAACTGGAAATCCGTAAAATTGTTAGAAGCAAAGGTTTGTTTAAAGAGTCCTCATTCATATCACACTTCGCAATTTCAGCTTGAGATAAACTAGCCTGTTGGCTAAAAATCTCAATAAAAAAGTTAAAAAATCGCAGTTTCAAAAACAGAAATCTCAAGATTTAGGGGCTTATAGATCTCTAAATTTCAAATACTAGAGACCTACTAGCTTCTTTACAGCAAACAATCAGATAAAGATTTCACGGGCATTCACAAGAACCTTAATACCTATTTTGGTTTGTGAAATTCCGCATTGCGCGAAGAATGATGGTACAAGGATTCACTTTATTTTTTTTATTAAAAATTGTTTTTTTAAATACATGGTTTTTAAAACCAGGAAATTTTTAAATAATTGACCAGAAAAACCAGGGAAAAACCAGGAATTTCGAAATGGAAATTCACTTGCCACCCTGACTTTATAGGTATATACAATTTCACACTGCCGTACTCTAACGGAAATCTCAATTCTATACTTTCATCTCCTCATCTATCGTATAAAAATTACCACTCTAGTCTGTTATTTGAAATTAGCATCTTCTATGTAAATCGTTGACTTCACCCAGAAGTAATATAAAACAAATAGTTAAAAATTTACTTTTACGTTAAATCGTTTTGGTGTCTTCGGAGCACTTATTCCTTGGTTCATAGGAAATAAGTTAGCAGAAGGCACCAAGGCGATACAACGTAAAAGCGCACTTTTATCAGCGTTCATTGGCGTAGCTAAAACATTTATCTGAAGGGGGCCTGGGGTTGTTTGGGGGCTTTTTGCATTTTTTTTTATTTTGCTAAACTACGGTTAAATGAAACTCATACGGAGGCGAACCAGCCTCTCTAATAAAGAAAACATAACTTAACTTTAATAAAACTCGCGAAGATGCTATTCAATAAAATTGCGTCAAGTCAACTTTTTTTTTGGGTACCCACAATTTTTTTCTCTAACTAATAATATGACATTGAGGCTTTCTATTATTTTAATGGTGAAACAATAAATTTGATTATATTTATTTCATAACAACGATCGGGACCTCGATCGGGGAGCCTTAAAAGCTTATTGATTTTGAAGTTCATGCTTTTTGTAATGATTACCAATTCCAGAAGCAGCGTTCGTATACTCGTAGTATCCGGAGCAATTCCGTCACTAGCATGTTTGAAGTGTTCGTAGGTGTAGGCCTGATTCTGTGATCGAGGAAATGTTGATAGATTGAATTAAGTTTAATTTCAGGAGAGCGAAACATCCCATGTTGACGAGAGGGCTGATGATCACATGATACTCCATCCATATCACAAAAAATATTGCAATGTAACCTTATTGTTATTATATTTTAATTAATATGCTGTTTTTCCAATGACAGTTCAAATGACTCATTTTATAAACCGATCAATTATACAAGAACTGTGTAATATTTACTCAGTTCCGTTAATTTTCTTAAAATTAGAAATGAGTAGAAGTTACTCTAAATTTGACAGACGCATCCATTACTCAAAAGTGAGAAACTATGTGTTTACTCACTTTAGAGTAGTTCGACTTTTACCGAAAGTGAGTAGAATTCTTCTCACTTTTGAGTAAAATTGAATGAGCGTGAACGTGTAAACGAAATGAAAACTTTACACGGTGTGCGACCGTATCAGTACATGTGTTACCGGTTGGTTTTCTTGTCCACCACTGATTGTCCTTTCATTGTAAGCGAGTTTTGGTTGTCTGTTCTTTTTCATTACGTTGTTAAAATAAATCCTTTGTTTTGATCCTCTTTCCTATCGCTTCCAGACTAACATTTTTGACAACTGGTCCAACGGAGTATGTTGCAATATTCAAGCACGGCGATGATTTACGACAGGATCAGCTTATATTGCAAATGATCACATTGATGGACAAGTTGCTACAAAAGGAAAATCTAGATTTGAAACTCACACCGTATCGCGTACTTGCTACTAGTTCCAAGCATGGGTTTATGCAATATATTGATTCGATAACAGTTGCCGAAGTTCTGAATGCCGAGGGTAGCATTTTGAACTTTTTCCGTAAACATCATCCGTGCGAAACAGGACCATACGGAATAGTTTCCGATGTAATGGAAACATATATAAAAAGCTGTGCTGGCTATTGTGTGATTACTTACTTATTAGGTAAATGTACATATTTGATTAAATACTGCAAAACTATAATTGGACTTATGTTATACAGGCGTTGGGGATCGTCATTTGGACAACTTACTTCTGACCAATTATGGTAAGTTATTTCACATCGATTTTGGCTATATTTTAGGCAGAGATCCCAAGCCGATGCCTCCACCAATGAAACTGAGTAAGGAAATGGTAGAAGCAATGGGCGGTCTGAATTCTGAATACTATCAAGAATTTAGAAAACTATGCTATACCGCTTTTCTTCACCTTCGGCGACATGCCAACGTTATGCTGAATTTATTTGGTTTGATGGTAGATGCATCCATTCCGGATATTGCCTTAGAACCCGACAAGGCTGTTAAAAAGGTAGAAGATAATTTACGTTTGGATCTATCCGATGAAGAAGCTGTGCAACATTTACAAAATTTACTTGACCTTTCAATAACGGCCGTGATGCCAGCTTTAGTGGAACAGATTCACAAATTAGCTCAATATTGGCGAAAATAATTATATTCATGTATATTTAGTCATCATCATAGAGATTTTCAGAAATATACAGGCAGTACGTTCGTACTTAGGGCTGTTCATAAACTACGTAGACCGTTTTGAGAATTTTTAGACCCCCTTCTCCCGCGTAGACAATCTTCCATACAAATTTTTGGAAATTTGTGTGGACCATAGTAATAGACACTCGCCGAACCCCCCCCCCTTCTTCTTAAGTGTCTACGTGGTTTATGAACAGCCCCTTACACGATGCGATTTAATGAAAGAAAATCCATTTGTTTTAAAAGAGTTGTCAACGTCGGTTCCATACACGCTAAGAAAAAAGTATAAATTAATGTCTAAAGTTTAATCAATTTCAAGAAAACCCGCCCATATTGATAAAATGAATAAACGCTGTTTACTCATCGGATGAATAAACCCGTTTTTCTTGAAAGTGATTACATTTTAATCATTAATGAATAAATGCGTTTTTCTCAAAAGTGGTTAAATTGTATACACCGGAACAATGGTTGATTTCGTATATATTCATCATATTTTATTAAAAATTGCAATAAAATTATGAGATGGATAATAACTAGGCACGCCATGACTTTTCATACACATTTCCTGACAGTTGGTAAAAGGCCATTTTGGATTGAAGCTGCTGCACGGGTAAGTTCAACATTCACTAGCTGCGTCGTGGGTGATTTGCCCATAACCAATATCGGCGGATTTTCACAAAAATAAAAACCAATAAAAAGTAATGTTTATTTCTCATTAATAAACACAATTATAAGATACACAATTAATATTGAAATCTACTGAACGCGGGCATACGGCAATACTCATATACTTTCCGTTGGCCGGATCCATTTGCGCCACGACATGCTGCAGCATAGCGATGAACTGGGTCATGCTCTGTACCACAGATGATCCCGTCCCGCAGTCAGCCAAACCCTCGGCCAAACCCACGGCAGGGTGTACACAATCATCGAGGCCTTGTTGGTATCGGTCCGTGATGACATCTTGCCAGCAGGTGATGTTGCAAAGCCGTTCCAGCCCGCTGCAGAACTGCCGCTGGAAGGAGGACGATTTGGTCTCATCCAGTCAATTAGCGAAGCATTGTGGTGTTAATACCATGGAAAGAGGAATATTTACACTAGTACTTACTCAGGGTGCCTACTACCTGGAAAAACCTGGAAAACCGGGAATTTACAGGGAAATTTATTTTTTTCTGGAGAAACCTGGAATATTCAGGGAATTTTGGTTCCACTCAGGGAATTTTCCAATTATCACTTCATTCGTAATTCAAAAGAAGTTTTTCGTTCAGTTTCTCGAAACGTTTCTTAAGGATACTGAACTTGACAAGCATCTGACAGCTAAGACAACGTGTGCGAACGAGACAAGTTTATTCAGAGAGTCTTGTCACGCTCGCTCTTCGCTGATTTGTATGTGTAGGATCAAAATCGTCGTAAAAAGGAAACAGCCGAAAAAGAGAGACTGGCAACCATCAAAAGAAAGCGTACGAAGCATGTATTGTATAAGAATAAGCATGCCAGACAGCAGATCTGAGAGCCTACATAGATTTTTTTTGAGCTTCAGAGAGGGTCGGAGATCTACTGAGAAATTTGTTGAGCTTCAGGGTAGTTCGTAGATCTTGAGAACAGAACTACAAACAAATTAAAAGTTATTAACTGAAATTCATAAAAACAAAATCACAAGAGAGGTCGTTGATTTTCAGATAAATGTTCAAAGAAAATTTCAAAACTTCAAGCAAACAAAAATAATTTCAAATCAATTTGTAAAACTATAAGCGAAATTTTGCAAATCTTCAGGAAAATTCGCATAACTTCAGACAAGTCCAAGAATCTACAGTGAAATATAAAGTATTTCACAGAAGTTTGGAGATCCTCGAAACATTATTCAACATCAGAAAAGTTCGTAGATCTTCAGAACAAAGCTACAGAACTTTGAAAAAAAAATTACAGGACTTCAGAAAAAACCACAAGAATCTCAGAAATGTTAATGGATCTTCAATTAAAAATTGCAGAACTTCAGGAAAGTTCGGCGATTTAAAACAAATATTTACACTATTTCAGAAAAAAAATTGTAGATCTTAAGAGAGACATTTAAAACTTCAAAGAAGCTCAAATATTTTCAGATAAATTTTGACAACAATCTTCAAGGAAATTTTCAAATCTTCATGGTACCCCGAGAGGAATTTCCAAAACATCAGAGAAGTTTGCAGATCTACTGAGAAATCTATTGAGCCTCAAGTTTTTTTTGTAGATCTTGGGAATAGAGCTACGGAGCTTAAGACAACTTTACAGAACTTTAAAGATATTTGCAGGAATTTGACAGAAAGTTTCACAGTTTCACATAAATGTGAGATCTTCAGAAAAATTCGTTAAATGTCAGAAAAGTACCTCAATTCCATGGAAGTCGGAAATAGATAGATATAAAGAACTTCAGAGAAGTCCGTAGACCTTAAGAGAAGTCTGTAGAACGTCAGAAAGTTCGTACGTTTTAAAAAAAAAATTCAAAACTTCAGCAAAACTCACAGATCTTCGGAAAGTTCGCTGATCTTTAGATCAAGAATCCACAAAGAAATTTAAAGAACTTAAGAAAAGTTCGGAGATCTACTGTGAAATTTATTGAACTTCAGGGCAGTTCGTAGATCTTTAGAGCAGAAATACAGTACTTCAGAAAACTTCACAGAATTTGAAATAAATTTTAGGAACTTCAGAAAAGTTCAGAGGGTGGATCGTAAATCTTCTCAAAAATTAGCAGATGTTTAAATAAATTTTCAGAATTTTACTGTCATTCTTGGATTTTGAAAGACATTTACAGAACTTCAGGTAAGATCGCTGATCTTTAGAGATATTTGCACAGCTTCAGAAAAATTAGAAAAACTTAAGAATACTTCCTAAAACTTCCGGAAAGCTCAAAAATTTCTAGATAATCTTTTAATTCTTTAGAAAATTGTATAGATGTTCAGAGATATTTGCAGATATTCATTGAATCATGAAAATCTGCTGAGAAAATTACAGAACTTTCGAGAAGTTTGTAGATTATTAGAAATTTTGTGAACATCAGAGATTCAAGGATTTTAAATCTTCAGGAATTCAGGAACTTTGTAGATTTTTAGGAAAATTTGCAGATCTTCTGAAGAACACACAGAACTGCGAAATCTGTAGAATTACCGAGACATCTGCAGATTGTCAGGAAAGATTGTTGATCTTTAAAGAAATTTTACCGGAGAACAGAAACAAAACTTCATGGACGTCAGAAGGTTTGAAGACCTTGCAGAATTGAGTTCTAAACAGAAATTTTCATAACTCAAGGAATCATTTAGATCTATAGAGTACACTGGAGTCGCTTTTTACGCGGGTGATACGTCCCGCGTAAAAAAAAAACGGAATCCGCGTAAAAAAAACCGCGTAAATTCCGAAATCCGCGTAAAAAAAAACCGCGTAAAAAAAAACCGCGTAAAAAAAACCGTGTAAAAAAAAAAACCGCGTAAAAAGCGACTTCAGTGTACTTTACCCACTACCAGGCATGGAAAATCATTTGCATTCATTTCGTGCATTCATTTACATTCATTTGCCCCTAACTTTTTTATCAAAAGAATTCCGCAAAATAATGTATAAAGCTTTTGTAGGTTTTGTTATTAACTAAAACTTTTGCTAACAACTCAAATCCATATCTCTTATGCATGACGAACCAGAGCGAACAGAATCCAGTACTGTTTTTTAGTGAATGTATTTTACATTCACTGAAAAACAGTAACAAGTTCTGCCCGCTCTAATTCGTGATGCATAAGAGATACAGATTTGTGTTATGGGCAAAAGTTGCAGCTAATAACAAAACCTACTAAAGTTCCATACATCATTTTGCGGATTGCTATTGATGACAAAAGTTAGAAGCAAATGAATGTAAATGAATGCATGAAATGAATGTAAATGATTTTCCATGCCTGCCCACTACCTTGTCGAAAGTTGGTATCGACATCCTGGCGAAGTTGTGAAATTCTTTTTCATCTTTATATCGCAGTTCTTGAAGGACAAGGTGACCCAGATCCCTGCCGGTGTTCCTCCCGAGCAACCATATCCTACTCCACAAAGTTCACCTTCTATTTCTCATTTTATTTAAAATAATAAAAGCAAATACGTCTGCCGAAACTAGAGCAATTTTCCGGTAATTCTTGATGGAAGTATTTACTTTTGATTCCTGATACAGTTTTGTTTTGAAATCTAAATTGACAGTTCTTTCGACAGGTGCAAGCAATGTGAACACCATCAAACAGGGGGGGGTTCGACAAAGTGTGTCGAAAGTAAATTCGAGCAGATTTTTCATTATGGCGGCGGTCAAAATCAGACCAAGAAATCAGATAGTCTAAACGGACCTTAAGAGATTTTAGACTTGTGAAACCATGATTTATTCTATCTTGATCTTCCAAACAGAGTTGGATTCAAACATATTATCAAAATGATATTTTGTTTTTGAAAGCATATTGTTATCAAATTTTGATATATCGTTTTATCGAAATAGTATAGACAGGTTTCTTACTTGTATTTATATTCTTGAATTGAAAAAATACTACACAAATACCAAAAAAGAATGTAATATTTATTGACGGAATGCATGCTACTGTATGAATAACTAATGTGATTGCAAAAACCAAATACAATATTACACCCATGGATATAATTTCTTTTCGCAAATTATGTGTAGGATAAATGCACCAATAGTGACGGTACTTTAGTGCAATGTGTTCCTATGGTGGCTTATAGAGTCTCCCTAAGCTGCTATAGAAGTACATTGTACTAACGTACCTCCACTATTGGTGCATTTACTAAACATAAATTGTACAAATTAATACTAAACAACCTATGTGCATCTGTTCTGCTGTAATATTCAATAACTTTTTTGCTGTGCCGACTTATATGTACCAACGCCCAAGTTTGAACAATCGAAAATAACAAATCAATAAGTACATAAAAGGGATTCCAGATGGATAAATAGATAAAATAAAAATGTGTATAATTTGTATGCACTTGGAATTTTTTTCA